TGTGGCAGGCACGGTAGAATCGATGTAAACATCGGTTTTGAAGGGTCTAATAATCCTCCGTTGATCTTCAATTCAGGAAGCATCTTAGCTCGTCTATCCCCATTACAACGAGGTCGTGAGCGTGCATCTTTGGCTCTGCAAAAACTGTACTTTAGTGTTGCTGGAAGAGCTTCGTGCCAACAGGAAAGGGTAGTTTCCGTGGAATGAGCTTCTTGATGTGCACGAGTATTTTGCATGCCTATCGTGCCCTGTGCAATCTGTCTTCCACGAGCTTGGACACGACTCTGCTGGTGAAGGGGCTTTCACGTGTGCATCGTTGTCGCCTTCGTTGTGCTACTCGTAGACATAGTCGTACTAGTCCAACAAGCAATAGCAGCGTAAACGCGACCACTACACACTGAAACTCCTAATTTGAGCCCCACGAGTAATTTACAAGAATCCTGATTTTCGCTCCTTCCACAAAACACCGAGTCGTGACGCAACACCGAGGCGTCATAAAACGCCCGTGGGCGCCTCAGGGCTCTCTAGCCAAGTAGTCGAAGTAGTAGTCGTAATTGTTGCTGTTGTTGGTCTAATATGGAAACATCAACGGCAACACAGGACAGGATGACGCTGCTGAAGTTGATGCGCTTGGACAGCATGACGTCCAATGGATACCTCGAGTGCATCAGGCTGCCTAGAAGAGTACGCCTCCATTTCAGTATTCCTGTCGGTTGAGGGCTAGTGATGGCACTTGCTGAGAAACATCTTCGCAGTAGATGTCTTCGCAGTTCCTGCCAGAATCACTGTAATGCTCACAGGTGGCCATTGCACAAATCAGATGTGAAGATGCTTTGGCACACGAATCCGCTGTCGTGTCATGAATCCGCCTGCAGAGCCAACCATCAGGGAAGACCTTGTTCCCCCGAGCGTCGTTCTTTGTACATGTATCTTGTCACCAACGCACATCATGTGCTGCCATCTATGAGCTTCCTCCAGACTGCATGCCGGCAACTAGCTGCACAAATCCTCAAGCATGACTGGAGACAGTGCTTGGGTCCAGGCTTGTAATTTGGGGGGATCTTCGTCATCTCTTGCTTTGCGATCACATCAATCATGTATTCGGCACCTGGACAGAAAAGAGCTATTGGTTCCAAAAAGACCGAACATGCAGCCAGTCTAAGTACTGCACGGCATGAGTCCATTGTGGGAATAAGAAGCGCCTCATGATATCCGTCTACCCGCGCAGCTGCGTGCAGGAGTCCCTCGCAATCTCAGGTGGCAGCAGAGAAGCGCAACAGTTTCGGTACCTCGTTTGCTGAACAAGGAACATCAAGGAACCACTTCCTTCACATAATTTCACATCGCACGGTGCTGTGAGAAGCGTCTTACAGAACAGAGCCGCGCGCGGCGACACAAGAAGTTCCAACATCGCTGACTCACAATCTCGTGTCATGCAGCAGCATGAATTCTCCAGAGCCGTCTGCGAATTGCGACGGTGTTGATTTCACAGTTGACTTCACGCCAGTCATGATTCCCTCGTGTTACATCGACATGGCAGTGCTGCAGTTGCGGAATTGCGGTAACTAGCCTACTTCAAACATCGAGTTGAGCGTCAGGTCACGATGGCCAGTACGATGGCTTCTGACCCTTGCCAAGCTGATGTGGGATCGCAGCAGTAGTTGCGAGATCTTCTA